GGGGGGGGATATACACCCGCATCTATCGTATCCCCTTGTTCTCAAACCCTTTTTTGACAATGATTCTCTTCGAGGAAATCCCAATCCATCATACCAAAAGGCCTTTTCATATCCAATTTAGTAGCCACCCCTGTTTCTTTTTTCCTGACCCATTCATCAATAGCTCAGGAAATATAAATATATATAATTAGTTTCTTTGAACCAAAATGCTCACTCTATTTCTTTGACCAATATATTTTCTTTCTGATGGTCAGTTAAAAGAAAAACGCATTGATTCTCTCTGGTGGCTGCCACTATGCTTATACTACCTCGAAGAAATCTATCCACCCTCAAAATTAAAGAGATCGAACAAAAATTGCATCTGTCAGCTTTGTAAAATAACCTTCCAACTTATTTTCCTATACTTTCATTCGTGCTGTCTTTCCCTCTCATTTCCCCTGCATCATTGTTCTTCCTCTTTTCTTTTCCCCCCTCCCTCGCTCTCATGATCACGAATTTTGGGCCACATCAGTATAATTAGTAAAATAGGAAACACAAGTTCTTTTACGACGTTTAACCATGGTCACAAGTTTTTGGTCAGCCAGAAAGGAAGATGACGAAATAATTAGAGTGAGGATTTGGTATGTAAAAATAAATAAATTTTCACAAAACATTTTGTCGAACAGGAAACTTCCCCTAAAATCGTCAAGTACAGAAATTGTCTTTTATTTATGTTCGAAAGTGTTTCAGCTTCAGCAGGTTCTAGATAACAGGCATGTGTCACTCGGAAAATCAATCATTTTCATATCTGTCAAGTGTTAACCCTTTTCCAAACCACCAGAGAGAGAGAAAAAATCAAATAAATAGCAAACAAGAAGAAATAGATGAAGAAGTAGAAGCTCAATCAACCGAAAATGCAAATTAGGGAGTAGTTAAATTCAAATATCCACGTACATCATCGTAATACTCTTTGGGAAGCCCATCAATAAGCGGCTCTTCCTTGCTCAAGCTCCTCCTTAAAACTGACCATCAAAATCACCAAAACCTCCAAAATGAGAAGTTACGATAAATTCAGTATCTGAAGAGTGAATAAACAAGCTGCAACAGAGCTAACCAGGACGAGATGAATAAAGCTTTAAGAAATAGGAGGTTGAAAGCTTCGGTAAGGTTGGGGAAGCAGAGGGTAATGGTGGAACTGGTGAGCATCTCAGCCAAAGCACCTGTGCCAACATTATAGTTCCGAAACAACCAGCAGGCTGGGAAAGGACTTGGATGCTTGCACGAACGGATTAAAGGACAAGGGGCTCCTCAATTTAATTTATTTTTTAAAAATAACAAGATAAATGAGATTACACAAATTTCTCCTAATTTAGGACACGAAATCACACAGATATAAATATGACTTAATCAAGATAATTCCTTAAGTAAATTACAAAAATGCCACTGGTGATATGGGTGCCACTAGCCCCAACCCGCTTTCCTTCTTTTGCCTTCTCAATTATACAAATGTACATTTGTAGCGTGGAGATTAATCTTTTAGGGTACATTCACCTTTATGTTTCAATCACTCGTCTTCATCTACTTTTCATGTCAATTACTTCAATACATTACATTTAAAATTCATTGTTATTATTTTATGTTTTAGTTTCTTTATTTTCTGGAGTTTTATTTCTGTACTGTAGATTTAGTTTAAAATTTAAATTTTAAATGGAGACGTATTACAAAAGAAAATCGACGGAGTCAGCATCTTATTTGAATAGAAGTAAATAAAAGTAATGGTAGTTCAGATAGATATCTCAAATAAGTAAATTTAGAAGATTTACAAGCATTCCAATCCAAGAATTATATATATAAATAAATATATATATATATATATATTGTCACAGATGTAGTATCTGAGACCATGTTCGTAGGCCAACCTCAGAATCAATTTTTTCCCTCGAAGAAAAGTGTAAATAATATTTAATCATTTTCATATTTGATTTAACACTTCTAAAGATGCCTCTAAAGTCCGTTCCATTCCAATACACGTCTGTATCAAGAAACAAACACCAACAGAGACCTAAAACACAACCATAAATTGGCAAGACGCCAATATACGATAGAACAGGTGCATTTTAATCGTTTCAAGTCTTGAAAGGCTAGATAGATACAAAAGAGCAGGTCAACCTTCCCTTCTCATTTCCCCCTTTTTCATCATCCAACAACCTCACCTCTCCCCATCAATATGAGTACTGTCTATGCCTTTTCTTCCCAGCAGAAAATGAAAATGATCTGATCCTAAGTCTGCATTACTGATCTCGAGTCAAGACACCAACACTTAAAGTTCGATCTCGATAACTCATAAAGCATATCTGGAGTCATCTTCTCAAGATCTTTTGCACTATAGGAATCAAGACTGTGAGAAACATACTGATCAAGGGGAGGAGCAATCAACGGTGTCCTAACTTGTCCATGATGATTAAGACTGCGCATTCTCTTGTACAATCGCATCGCTGATACACAATTTTCATAGGGGTCGTGCACACCCTGCCGAATATCATACCTGCAAAACCATGGCCCTCACAGATCATCCTTCACAAGCTAAAAACAAGATTAAAGAGAAAAACATGCTACCACCTACCAAGACAACATTCTCTCATTTTCCATCCACATGATCAAATTTTATGTGTAAAATACCACACTATACAAGGCCAAATGAATTTGATTCTTCAATATGGAAGATGCAGAACATTGGATTTGCTCATGAGTTAGCAATGAAGCGGAAAATGGCCAGCTGGCCTTTGGCGGCTCTTCTTAGCCTTAGCTTAGCCGGTTTCAAGTTCATTTTCTTGACCCTTACAAGTTTATTAAAAAATAATAAGGAATCCATATTCAACTAAAAACATTCTAGGATGATGTGTTGGATACAGTTTTTTCATTCTTATTGATATCCAAGGCTCGGTTTGATTACCGGCACTAGAACACGTTTTCCAAAGCATTTTAAAAGTATAGTTACTTTTTAAGCATTGAACAAGCCTAATACCTATAGTTACAAATATGGAGAGTCCGTGAGGTACCAGAGCACAATGATAAGCATTAAGAACAAATCTAAGATTTAATAAAGAACGCATTTATTCTTTAAGCCCAACCTAATACCTAGCGTAACAGATATGGACAGACCGTGAGGTATTAGAGCACAATGATAAGCATTAAGAATAAACATAAAAGAGTTAATAAAAAAATGTATGTGCAATCGCAATAATTTCGTTGGTGTTGTGAAATTCCTTCCTGCTCGCTTAGATCCTCTCTGGATGGCGGGTTTATAGTCTAGCAAAAATACCATGGAGAAATCCTACAAGCTTACAAGAGCTTTAAGTTGGCTTTTATATCACTCTTGAGAGGAACAACAAAAACTTTAAAGACCAGTCTGGGACTAACCCCCACTTGGAATAATTTGTTTAGAGTTTTACATAATTTTTCCCTTTTTGTATCAATAAATAATAATTTTGATAGAGGTCGCTTTTCACATACTCCTGGGGTTTAGGTTTTTGGCTGGGTGATATCTTACTTCCCTCGTCCTCCATTTTGTAGAGAATAATGAAGTTTTTATGTTTGTTTATTAATAAAATACTTGCTTCAGTTGGAAAGAAACGAAAAATTACCCTATCATTCTTTAAATCAATATGAACCAAAGAATATTACCCCAAATATGTTCGAGTAAGGTACTTGAGAGAATGGCTAACCAAATTTGTTTTCATCAATGGAGTATATCTAGCAGTGTCCCTGCAGAAAATGTTTCAGCCAAAAGGTGAATGTGTAAGAATAATGTGCACAAAAAAAGAGAAGCATGTCGTGTAAAATTCAGAGCAAAAACACATTATCATCCCCCAACGACAGGATTTATTGCCAGAAAAAATCATGTTATCAAATGCAGATCACTTAAAAGTTCAAATGCATCTCATTTTCAATAAAAGTGAAACTAACCTACGCATAATTACAACCCAAGTTAGAGAAAATTCACCTTAACATATGATCAGGATAATTCATTCTCAAGCAATCTAAATCATGCTCCAAGTCATGGCCGACAAGAAGCCTAGCTTTACCACCATTCACTCTCAATCTCTCGATGGTTTCTCCATTTAACAAGATTTTTAATACTTTTTCTTGGACTTCTTTCAGTGGCATGGCATACCTTACACGTTCTTCCGTTAGCCCAGTTACTTCATGCCTACAACATTACCAGGATATGAGCATCTAACAGGCTGGTTTCTAAAAGCTAAAACCTTCCTTCAAGAGCAAGACAAAGACACAGACAAATACCTGTAATTCGCAATTGGTATTTGTGGTTGTACAAAAGTATTGAAAATCAATTTCTCGTCTTCATCAACAAGGCAGATCCCAATACAAATGTCCAGTGTGCCATCACTTCCACCGCCAGCCATTACACAATCCATAGCTATTGCTCCAAGGCCTCGATCAGAACGGTCTTCATCATAACAATCTGATAAATCAGTTGGCAATAGACTTGTTCCCTACAACAGAACCCCAATCAAATTTTGAAATGCATGTATGATATCATAAGCACTTTAATAAATAATAATCTTAATCGTTTACCTGATATTGCAGAGGGTTACTGATATTGTGCACTTTAATAAATAATAATCTTAATCGAGGTCGTTTTCAATAAAAGTTCAAATGCTATTTAGGGGCTTGATGAGACCTGCAAGTGAGGCTTGGTATATTGAGCATTAAGATCTCGTTGTGGGCATCGGTCTTTGCTTCTCTTTATATATATATATATATCAACTAGATCTTGCACTTTTGGATCGGAGTCCTTTTCTTAATTAGTGTTGGACTCCTTTTTGGGGCTGTTTTCTTCTTCTTCTTTTTTTTTTTTTTTCTTGTTTTGTATGGACGTATATATTCTTTCATTTCTCTCCATGAAAGTAGGTTCCGCATTAAGAAAAAAAAACTAATAATAAATGGTTCAATTTCAAGATTGATCTAGAAATATATACTACCAGTAACCTTATTTTTTTAAGAGAACTATCAGTAACTTCATTAATTTTCATATATGATGCATAGAGCACAGGCGACTGACTTGGCGAACAGGAGCTGTTAAGCGGCAAATGTCTTGATGCCCACTGAGAGATGTGCGATCATCAAGTACTCTCAAACAAAGCCCACAACCTTGCTCCAAGAAAATTTTTGAACAATTTGATTTTGAAAGTGGACCTAAAAGACTGGATTGTAATAAGATGGTGTTATGATATATTACCACAAAAAAAACACAAAATATCTCACCATTTAGATGTTCCCTCAATGATTCAAATGATTTGCAGTGCTTTTGGCAGACCCCACATCTAGGCTGATGAACAGAGTGATACGAAACTCTCATGTGCTCAATAAGATGCTCTTTCTTCTTATATTGCTTGTAGCATGCAGAGCATTTATGTCTGTAAACAAATATACACTATAATTTCCATCGTCAACGTCAAGTACTCAATAAGACAAAAATTGGAAACAATTGCAGAGGGTTAAATGAAAAGATGCCAACCTTAGGCATTCTTTGGTGGTGATAGAAGCTGCCATGATAGTTTCTTCTTTTCTAATAAGAAGACAATCAAATTCAATTCAGGTAAAATAGCAGTACAGCCTCATTAAGGATGGTCAGTCAACAATATTATATACCGTAGAGATACTACAACAACAAAGTGAAACCCTCTCCTAAGAACCGTGTATACTTATTGGTTTATGGGAGTGATATTGGTAAAAAGGAAAAGATGTTTGGGGAATGCGTCATTTCCGAGCTCCACCTTATAATGATCTCTTTGGTTGGACTACAAAAGGAAATTTCGCAGATAAGAGAAGAGATGTACAAATTACAAAATACTTTGGAATATAACTAAATACGTTGCTATTTTTTAGCAAGAATATAAAGCAATCTTAAAAGAATTAATGATCAAACTTCAGACGATAGAAAAGCGAAGGATGGCTGAGAGAAGAACTACGAGAAAAATCGAAAATAAATCTCTCTCCAGCGAATTTGACAAAGGATTATAAAACTGGTGGAAGCGCACCTGAATAGATCGTTCGTGATCGCTGCAGAGCTGCAAGTGGTGATAGTTTGGTTAGAAGACGCAGTGGAAGAGTTGTTTCCAGCCCCAGGCCCACATTCTCACGAGCTTTTTCGAAAACCCTACTGCAATGGAGACTTTGTATGGATTAAAAGAAAGAAGTACGAACAAGAGAGGAAGTTTTAAACGAGCAAAAGCACCCGGGTTGAAAATTACAGGGGGTGGGAAGAATTTTGTAAGATTTTAGTTAGTTATTTAAATTTCGAAAAAATAAATATCTGATTAATTTTAAATTAAATGTAAAAAGGGAAAAAATAGATCAAATAGCACTTTCTCACGTCCGCCGCTTGCCGAGAGCTCAATATTCAAAACTTTTTACAGATCTGAAATTTTTCAAATAAGAGAAAGTAAGAGGGAAATGGTGGGGGGAAAGGAAGGCCAGCAGCGACGGGTGCTTTGGGTGGCTAACGGGGGAACGGGGTGCCGAAGCTCTGAGATTGGGGAGGGGGAAAATGGAAAGGAAAAGGTCCATTTATTTCAGAAAGAAACATGAATTTCTAATCAATAATTTATAAGGACTAATCTGGTCTTGCTCTAGCAATTAGCAACAGGGGTATACAAGGGTGTGTGGGACGTCTTTAAACTTCAACTGTTTATGCAATTGTTTGAATGTGAATCCGAAACCAAAACATACATTTTTGTCCACCGGAAGGCCTCAACCCTGGTTTCACTATCTCCTGCTGACTACAATGTCAATGGATTTTTCGCTTGAGAATAGTTGAACAGAAAATAAAGTGTCGCTAGATCACAAAGTACGAGCTTCTAATTGTCTCACGTCGTATACTAAAAAGTGCACTCTAATCAATGAATATATTCCATACAAACTTCCAAACTAACTGACATTAGCCACCCCGAGCCTCGCGTCTTGTGGCATCATGCAACAGCTCGATATCAACACCATCCGGTGGAAGTTGAACATATCTCACCACCGATCCCCTGATAAAGCAGTTTCTCACTGAAAGCTGAAATGAGAAAATTTAACTCCATTAGTACAACTAAACCAACAAAATTACAGGTAACACAACTAGAGGCTGGGAGAGAAACAAGTTCCTACACGCTTCGAAAGTCGTTCTTATGTATCCTGAGCACATAGCCTTTTAAACAAGGTTCACACACCCAATCTAAAATTTCACTCTGGTCACAAGATACCTTTTAATCCAAACTAAAATTTCACTCTGGTCACTTAACAGAATTCACCAATCATAAAATCAGCAACCAACATCAATGTCTTTCTATTACCCACAGTTCTGATTTATTTAGTGACCATAGTGACATTTTAGATTGGAGTTGAATCAAGAAAGGAGAAAAAACACAAAACCCATTCCACAACAAACATAAACAAGAGGCTGGGAAAAATATCAAATTCCTACTCTTCAAACCAAAGTTTACACACCATGGCATGATTATGCTGGCCCCAAAAACTGTGGTCTTACTACATAAACCGAGCCACAGAAGGATTTGAAATCAATCAGAAAAGACCACCGCAGTACTTAGGCTACGTGTTTGTTAAATAATCTATAAAGCTACGTTCTTGATACAAAATGAGTGTTCTTGGTCTGAAGATAGTCCCTACTTATAAACAGCATTTAAAATATTTGCATAATTAATATGCGAGTGCTCTCACCCATGTATTTACTTGACATTTAGACTCAAGAACAAAAAATCTATATCTCATTCAAACTGTGTAAAGGTACACGAGATCATCCCTTCATTTACTAGCTAACTTGCAACCAACCAGAACAAACAAAGGTAAAATACAATTTTGGTCCTTGAGTTCGAAAAAGTTTCAATTTGGTTCCTAAGTTAAAGAAACTAAAACCAACCATCATATGTACAATATAATGGATTCAGTTTAATATACTTGCCATTTCGACTTGTATCGAAATTTTAGTTCACAAGAATAAAAGAGGACTAAAGTCCTCACAATTGACCGGAACAGAAGAAGGAAGATCCCAAAAAAAATAACAACAAAAAAAAATTCGCACCAAATAAAATCCTAAACCTCGTTACCCTCCCCACTTCCAATCATCAGAAAGGAAAAAGAGTACAACTCAGTGGTCAAGGCATTTTACTTTCCCCAAGAGGTAGTAAGTTCAAATCCCTGCTAAGAACTCTAACCAAGCAACAAGATCACTTGAAATTTTCACCGGATCGGGACCGCCCACAAAATAGCTTGAAAATTTTCCCAAGAGAAAATTCAAGAAATACCAAAGGATGAAAAAGACAACCTACGTCCTCAATTGAAACAACATTTATAATTAAAATTTTAGGGTGACAGTAACAAACGGCAGTACAAATAATCTGTTAACCATAACCACATATCATACATCTCGCCAGAGAACCTTACAGTTATTAGAATCAAAACAGCAGTAAATAGTAACTAGAGGACAGAAGAAGCAGAAATGAGGAGAATGATGCCTATAACAAATGGTAAACAGAGAAAAACAAGATCGAAGTCACCCTAGACTCCAGCGCAGGTCAGCAGAATGCGTGAGAGCATAAAATAATCAACCAAATATATCGGTTAAATATAATTTATGCAAAGAAGTTAGATACCATGTGAGGGTATTTGTCTTGATCAACAACCCTCGTGTTTTCAAGTTTGATGTTGAGATACTGATCTACAGAGTGCAAAGTTCCTCTGATTGCTAGGTCGTTCTTCAACTCAACCGTCACCTCTCTGCCCACCAAGTCCTTGAAGTACGAGAAAAACAACTGACAAAAAAAAACCCAAATAAAAGTCCGAACGCATGTAAGCCAGAGATTTTAGAAACCGTGAATGATCTGAGACACGATAAGATGAAACCAAAAAGGAGCAACGGCTTAAGCACTAAAGTACGATTAACAATAACGAAAACCTAAAACGATGGAAACCAGTACTTGAATGAAGGAGGAATTACCATTTTCACTAGAGATTTAAACTGCCGGCCTTCAGTCTATCTGCTTTCGACGTTCGACGACCGGCAAAGGTCGAAATGCGGCCCGACCTATATCACAAACAGAAGGGAAAACGATATTAGGGAACACGACGAGTGCCTTCTCTTCTTTTTGGGAGTTTAAATTGTAAAACTTGCCTAAATTATAAAAAAAAAAAAAAAAAAAAAAAAAAAAAAAAAAAAAAAAAAAAAAAAAAA